AATCCATTCTACTTGGCTGACCATGACTCAAGGAACTGGTGCTTCGGCTTTTGATAAAGAACACAGTTTGTTCTGTGTACAAGGACTGATATCTCCTGTGTTTCAGTCTATTTTGCTTAATGGGGATGTTAATGACAGTAACAATCTCAGCAGTCTTACATACAAACAGTCCTTCTGTTATTTAATAAAGAAAAATTAAAATCTAAGGAAGCAGTGATTTTGAGCCCAGTTTGTTGTAGTATGAGTGGCACAGTATGAAGTTTCTTTGCCTGCACCAGTTTAAAAAATTTCCAATTGCAGATATTTTATGATTTAGGGTTAAAAATTCATCTCACTACAAATATGTATATTGTAAAACACTCTCAATAATTATTTTTATTCTATTTTTAATGTAGCTGCATATGATGCACAATGTAATTATATATGAAGACCAATTATGCAACTTTAATTGCACCTGTTTTCTCCCCTCTTGTAATGTTCCTTATTCACATCTTCATGTACATGAAATCTTGTTTGTACAAGATCTAGTTTGCTTGGAAAACAGTATTCTGCCAATCAAAAGATTGAAATACAACCAGAATTTGGTCTATTAGTTTTCTTTGTATGGTTAAATACAATTCTGCAACATGAACATTAAAATATTTTTTCTGTCTTACAGCTCATTTGCTAATCACACTCAATCAGACAAGGCACCATAGGTTCTCTCTTTCACAATTTAAGTGCCACGCATAGTCAGAATGATTTTTTCCTTCTATATGGCATCATCCTTTTATCAATTAATTTAAATAATAATTATTTAAATAATATATTTGTATTCTCCAGCTGTCACACATATTAATTTGTGGAACAACATTTTCCATTAACTAATCAAAGATCTCTAAAAATTTAACCATAAAAGTACTGACACCTTCTTGTGTATTTTAACAAACTGTCCTATAGGTCATTTACTAGAAGTCATAATGCTACTGTATTTTTAATGAGAGAGAGAGAGAGAGAGAGAGAGAGAGAGAGAATGCACTGTATCATCACATGTACAGTGGTGCCTCGACTTATGAATGTCCCAACTTACGACTATTTTGAGTTATGACTACCTCTGGCCACAAAATTTTGCTTCTACTTGCAACTGGAGCTTCAAGTTATGATCGGAAAAAAGGTGGGTAAAAAGGTGGGGAAATTAAATTACTAACTGTTGGTCGGGGAAGAGGCTGCTTCTTTCGCCCCAACGGTTAGAGAGGGTGGGTCGGAGGAGGCTTCGGACTGCCTGGTGCTGCTTTCTGCTTCTGAGTGAGCACATACAGAGTTTTGCAGGGTTGGTTTGGGCTGGGGGGGGGTTATGCTTATGTGCTGTGATTTTTTATTTTTTATTTTTGGTGTTTGTTTTTCAGCCCCAGTGCATTCGGATGGGGCTTGCTCTGTTTTTGTATGTGTGTCTGTGTTTTTTCAGCCACAGCGCATTCCGAAGTGGTTTGCTCTGTTTTATGCGTGTGTGGTTTTTTTTTCAGCCCCAGCACGTTCCCATGGGGCTTGCGCTCTCTCTCTCTCTCTCTCTCTCTGTGTGTGTGTGTGTGTGTCTGTGTCTGTGTCTGTGTCTGTGTCTGTGTCTGTGTCTGTGTGTGTTTTCGGCCCCAGCCCATTCCGATGGGGCTTGCTATATCGATTTTTGTTTGTTTTTTGATTTTTTTCAGCCCCAACGCATTCCAATGGGGCTTCATTTTTTGTTTGTTTTGGGTGATTTTTCTTCAGGTTACGACCATGTTCTGTAATGAATTAAGTTCATAAGTGGAGGCACCACTGTATATATAACAGTCACACAGCAAATCCTAGGTTCTCCTCAGTCACATGAAATGAAATTCAGGACTAGCTTAAAGCATAGTTACTTAGAGGTTACTTACCTACTATAAGGATTCAAATTTATTTAATCTAAATTACGCATATAGAACACAATGGATTATATTGTAGGTTTAGGGAATATGTCTATATGATGTCTTTACGAATAATCCACATGTGTACAGCAGGTGTTACTATTCTGCCTAACAACTACTGAGATTCTGTCTCAAACTATCTAGTTCTTTTGTTTCTGGTGTTTTTTTAAAGTTATGGCCTGTATAAATAAATCTAAGCAGTATGAAGCCACATACAAGCAATTTGCTGTTAGATGTAAAGAACGTTGCCCTGCTCTTTAAAGAGAATAAGGAATCATCTACATCCTCAGATCTCTGTGTGGCATTGTTATGGTCCACATTTCTCATTCACTATGAGCACAGGACACAAAAACACTAGTTTACAAATCTTCATAAGTACTTTAAAAAGTGCCATACATACTTGATACAAAATTAATGATATTAATTTGCAGTAACACATTGTCAACAATTTACATTAAAGGATATACTATGCTAAGACTTGGTAGAAAATTAAAGATTTCTCTAATTTTAAACTAACCAAACAGAGCCAAAGAAATGTTATACTAACATATATCTGAAGAGACACACAGATAGAAGGAAGAAGCACACACACCCCTTCATTACTGCAGCAAACACATACATCTTTTCCCTATGCCAAGAAATCATGATGGCTTTGTTCCTGAGAATTATGTGCAGAAGGAGGGTGGGAAACACTGCCACTTGCCACTCCATACCCTTCAGTTGCCCTCACTATAACCAGTTCTGCATCTACCAGCCAGCTTCCACATGGCCATTCTGCTATTCCAGAGAGAGAGTCTGAGAAAATTGGTTTTGCAATAGTGAAAAGAGCAAGTGCACAGTAGGAGATGATATTTTGCTGGCCCTTGCCAAGTACATAGAGTAATTCTTCTGATGATTTATTCCACCACACCTGTAGTGTACAGGAGAGCTCTGTAAAATGCACAGTCTCAGAAAGGGCAAAGCAGATTTGTGTATTGTAAAGATATAGAGTTACGTACATTTCCACTGTACATATTAAGTCATAAAAGATGATGCAAATAACCTGAGCCTTCTTCTTGTATTAACTGTGTAAAGGGGATGACGTGCACAGAAAAGTTCAGTGGGGTTGTGCTGCTAGCCCCACCCCCACAGCCAGTTAGATAATTACCATTAGATGGACTACCACTTCTAACTCCTTGTTGCTGAGAAAGCTTTAATTAGAAGTGCAAGCTTCTGAAATAATAAACCTTACAAACCTTAAACAACCTATAGGTGTGATAGCTTTGGTATGAGTGATCTTTGCATGCACAGAATAGACACAATATCAGAATTCTGGAACAAGAGAATTCATCGTTCAATGGCAAATCAAGGCCAAGATCTTATATACTTTGATATTCCCAATTACTATACACAGATGCGAAGACTGAACAATGAAAAGAGCTAATGGGCGAAAACGATTCATCTGAAATGTAGTGTTGGAAGAAAGCTTTACGGGTGCTGTGAACTACCAGAAAGACAAATAAGTAGATTCCAAATCAAATCAAATCTCACTAAAAGCTAAAATGACTATATTGAGGCTGTCACAATTGGCAGACATCATGAGAATACACCTTCACTGGAAAAGACAGTAGTGTTGGAAAAGTGGAAGGCATTAACAAAAGAGGAAGGCCTAACTTGAGATAGACTGACTCAGTAAAGAAACCATAGCCTTCAGTCTGCAAGACCTGGTAAAGCCTGTTAATGATATGACATTTTGGAGATCATTAATTCATAAAGTCACCATACATTTGCAATAACTTGATGGTAGATAACAACATATCACAAATCAAGGGTAACACATTAAAGATAATCTGCCAGCAACACATTTTAAAAAAGAAAGACCATTTTTGTTAATGGTCATTAAGTTAATTCTTAAATGATATTTAGAGTTTACAATGTAAGACAGCACAGATGAACAACTAAGATGACACCCAGCACAGGCTGATCTAAACACAGAGGGAGACTTGCACTGAAGCAAACAGCTGACATGAGAAGCTGGGAGCCTGTCCACTCCTTTCAGCATTTTTATGTGGAAACATGAATTGGGGTGAAACTGTCCATTTACAGCAGAAGCAGGAAGCATGACCCTGATTCTGATTTAGCTTTATGACATCAGCACATAGACAAAACGGTCTATGTGCTACAATGTCATTCTGCCCATGAATGATTGTGTCCCTTGTAGTCTCCTGAGCTCACGGGTTGACTGGTTTTGGCATGGGGGTGGTTTATTGTCTAGCATGGAGAGGTGTTATGGTCCCAACCAATGGGACAATGGCCCAGGGGATAGCTGTAGAGGTGCTGTGTTTTATTCTCCCTGTGTTTTACAATCAGTGCACGGCTGATTGTTTGTTGTGCACTTTTTAAATTGCATTTTGTGTGTTTTGACCACACAGTATGTTTTATGAATTGTTTGTATATTTTGATCTGTATTTTGTATGTTTTAGCCATAGATATGTTTTGTGGGCTGGTCATCTGACCGTAATAAATAAATTATTCATTAATGATTGCTTGTGATCCTTTAGTAAAGCCAAATGAGGAAATAAGGTGCTAAAACAGCAAAGAAGGACTAATTTTTGTGAAGAGCATTGAAAAATGATACATAGAGGAGATATTTAAGGCCTCCAAAGTATCGCTTCACACAACCAATCCTTGCATGGAATCATTCTGCACTGCACTATTTATATGGGAATTCTGCCCCCTCTGTGCCATAATGTTCCACCATTAGTGTTTTTTTAAAGGGGTTATGTGGAATCCTTGTGCCGTTTTTTGTGTGTTTTAGAAGATGAATGCTTACTGGCGTTTAGTTCTCCTTGTTTTAATTTATTTTGTTTTGGTGTAAAGGTGGGAGGGATTTTCAGAGGCTGCAAACACGGATGGCATTTGCTGTCCCTTGGTTGTGTGTTGTGCCCAGCCATGGGCAAAGGGGATTCAGAAAAGGAACATCCATCAGTAAATCCAGTATATAATTAAATCAGTAGATGGTTTTCTAAAATAGCAATCAATCACAGTAAAATTAAAACAAAATCCCTAACAAATTGTGGGTTTCAGGATATTTCCTACCTTTCTTCTTAGAATCTTTCTTTGTGCTGGTTTTAACAGCCACTTGAAGTTCTGTCTCAGTTGACATCCTATTGTATCCTTAGTCCTCTTCACACAGATCCAGTATCTCGGCCACGCTCATTTAGAACAACTCTCCAAGAGAATAACAACCTTTTCAGATACTAGAATCCTGGTGGTTCATTTCATTCACCCTTTTGGACTTCTGGAAGGAAAAAAAAACCACACAATATAACAATGAGTTAAGCTAGGTTCTGGGAAAGATGAAGCTACAAGGTTATTTGCTGAAGACTATTAGCAAGTCTTGTTATTTGTTGAAATGCCTCTTCCCAAAAAATATCTACCCAATCAACCCAGGCCTTATTATTTGTGGATGCCTACTCCAAGGGAAATAATCCATAATTAGTGTTCTGGCAGTTTAATCAATGGGATCCTCAATGTGGAACAAACTTCCTTTAGAGACCAGACTAGCCCCCTTCCAACTTTCAGATGATTACTAAAGATAGAACTACTTAGGGAGGCATGAGGCAACATTCAATGTTAATTTTTCATTACCCATATATGTGGTTTGGATTTGACATTTTATTATTATTTATGTATTATTTGCTATATACTGTATTGTGCATTTGTTTATTCTGTTATGGCTCTGTAATTTGGTTTGAGTTAGGGTCACCTTTTTTGTTTTTGTTAATATCTAGGTTGTTGAGGGTATTTCCTCTGATTATTTTTAAATTTTGGTCATATGGTTTGTTTCAGCTTATGCAAACTGCTCTGAGTAGTGATTTCACTAAATCAGACAGTTTATAAACTTTATAAATAACATGAAATAAATATATTGCCGACTGTGGCTGAATCACTTATTGCAACTGAACCTGAAATCACTCATCTAGTTCTACTGCTAAAAAGCACTTCAGATTTTCTGTACCTTTTAAGATCTGTAAATTTGTTTGAAGCTTCAGCATCTTTTCATTCCACTGGTCCTTGCTTTTTCTCGGTGCCATTTTTCCTTCTCATTCACTAATGTGACTACTCTAATTTAATCTCAGTGTTGTGAAAACTCTATAAATGAATCTTCAAAGGTTGGTAGCTCGCACAAACAGTGAAAATAATTTGTTGTTCAGTAATCTTTTATATAGCGTAATTACTTTTGCAGTAATAAGTAATGTAGCTAGAGGTTATAAAATTACTTTCTAGGTTTTGCTTAACTATAATTCGTATTGATAATTATATAGATATAATTAGTACTTATTGATTTTCAATAACTATTTCAATGGCATTTCAAGGTACAGTATTTTAAGGCATTTTAGATGTTTTATGATGGTCTGTCAATCCTAAACAGCTAGTGAAGCAATCTTTAGTTTTTGTATTTTTAAAAATACTTCCACACAGCAATACTAGAATTGGACACTAGAAAGAACCAGAGATTTCCCTGTATTTTTCTGGCCTACTTGGAGCAAAAACATAAATTGGTAATTACAAGTTACTTGAGTCTCCAAAGCAACAGTAACCACAACCTAGCTGCAGAAAAATGACAAATAATACAGTGAGTTCCTTTAGAATGTAACTTTCATAACTCAAGTTTACAAAATAATTTTACTTGCCAGCTGCAGACAGGCAGAAGATGCACTGAGTACTCCTTCTTCTTTCAACAGCTAAGTGCATTTCTACTGTGGATGCCAAGTACAATTTGTGCCACCCCTCCTCTGCCAGCCACAATAAATGCCTAAATACTATTTCTTCCTGCCTAAGTGTACTAGGCTAGTGTTTAAATAATTAGTTTGTCATCTAATCTGTTTAGTTGAGTTAAAAAATGATAATGATTTGGCTGCCACTCTGGCATGTTAGATGTAATATGATGAATTATCAAAACAATAACATGATCAGACACAGCTAATAACATTAAATAATGGTGACACACATTGAGACTTAAGAAAAAGAAGGATAAGAAAAAAGAGATATATTAAAATAACAAGAGTTACCAGGGATCTGTAAGGTACCAAACAGTCATGAAACAACATAAATGAGAACTTTTGTTGATTTTGTCTTCTTTCTGTTTTTTGATAGTTTGGCAATGTCAAATTGACTTTAAGGAAAAATGTGAAACTAAGGAATATTCAGTTAATAATCACTATTAGTATATTTTAGCCGCCGTCCTTCAGTGTGTGATCTGTCTGCTTGCTATCCAATTCAAAAGGAAAAAAATGTCAGTCTAGCAGTTTGAATTCTAATCTCTTTATGCAATATGGGTTGTGGTTCTATTTGCACAGCAAACATCACAATTCATAAAGTTATACATTTTCTTATTTGAGTAAGTGTTCAGAATACATTATCTAGCATTTCCAATTTATTGTTTTAATTTATTTCATCAATATTTGCATGGTGGAGAGTTCACCTGTTCACCTCTGAGCAGAAATGGGTAAGATTCACAGTTTTGGGGGTGGGTGGGGGAAGGCCTGTGGAGGCTATGGCAAACAAAACTCTGAAACTAACATTCAGGGATCATCCATTTACAATTATCACAGAAGCAGACAGTTATTTCCACTAACATATCCACACACACCCCGCCATGTTATATATGGCAGAAATACTCACAGAAAGTAAATAGTTCAATATATAAAATAAAGACTAGGCAGAAACCAGCATGATGAATTACAAACATTCTAAAAACTGAGATGTTCCAACCATTCTTCATTGGACATGGTTTCCTCACTACGCCAGATGCCCTTTTCTTGACACACTCTTATGTGTCAATGTTAAATCTGGTAACGCATTAAAAGTTTTACGCGGTGCCCCAGAGTGGATACGGTGCACCAAACATGGACTGCCAAATTCAGAACAGAGTGGATCAATTACTTCCTGCTGACAACATAAAGTTGAACAGTGCTTCATGGTGTACCATGCATTGTACAAAAAAAGGTATATCGGTAGGAAAGAGTTCAGTTATAAGCCACAAAGTACACAGAGGTCACAGATCTCAGGGTGGGTGTCTTGTTCAATTTGGATGGTTACAGCAGAAACAGATCAGGTTATGATGAGCAGAGTATCTGAGCCTCATTTTGAGAAACAATATTTATGCCAAACTATATTGTTGACGGGCACATTACACTTATGTAGTATTTTATTATGAAAATATTACGACTGAACATGCAGACTGTCAAGATGCTGCTTAGAATTGTTTTGTTGTTGTTTAGTTGTTAAGTCATGTCCAACTCTTTGTGACCCCATGGACCAGAGCATGCCAGGCCCTCCTGTCTTCCACTGCCTCCCAGAGTTTGGTCAGATTCATGTTGGTAGCTTCTGTGACAGTGTCCAACCATCTCGTCTTCTGTCGTCTCCTTCTCCTCTTGGCCTTCACACTTTCCTAACATCAAGATCTTTTTCAAGGAGTCTTTTCTTCTCATGAGACAGCCAAAGTATTGGAGCCTCAGCTTCAGGATCTATCCTTCCAGTGAGCACTCGGGGTTGGCTGCCTTCAAAATGGATAAGTTTGTTCTCTTTGCAGTCCAGGGGACTCCAAAGAATTAGAATTGTTACATAGATATAAGTATTTTCCAAGGCTGAAAACTCATGGTTAACGGGGAAAAATAATGAACAGAGCAAGCCTTCCCCCCCCCAATGCCCACAATCAGAACAGCAGGTAAATACTGTAGCTTTACTCTTCTCCACCCTGCCTGCTCAGAACTATTTTTATGTTGCTTTCTCTTCTTCAAGGTTCAGCACCTTCCCCAAGGTGTCCCAAATGTTACATTTTGGAGGAGTTGCCGTGGATAAAATTTGCCTTTACTGGAAAAGTAAATAAACGAGGGCAGTTTTGTACTGAACTTCAGTTGAGAGGAGAAGCTAATGCTACATCATGATTTGTTATCCAAACTCCCATGAAAAGGGTTTCTATTTTTCTGCCTTTTTTTTCTCAGACCCCTTTGGAACATGTTTTAGGGAAACTATAGAGCTTGCCATAGCAATGCAAGGAGGCAGCGGATGCCATGTTTGCTTTTTGCTATATCACTATCTCTTTATCAATCTGCAGACCACAGGGCTGCTCACCCTTCCTTCCTGATCAGAAAAGCCCCCTGGGAGAAGTTACAGCATGGTGTCTTTCCCTGGGCTTTAAGTAAAGTACAGGATAGCTTCCAACTACTACGAGGATGATTTCACTTGAAAGATAGCATGCTTATACTTATCTCGTATGTGCAGTAAGCACACCCTGTCCATGCAAATGTCTTTCTTCCTTTCTGAAAGAAAGGAATTTCTTTTGAGTCAAACAGAAGGAGAATTCTTTTAAAAGTTTCATGGAAGAAATTTTCAGCATATTACTAGTTGATAGTAAATGCTTGAGGCAGCCTATTCCACCATCTACTGTGAAATGCTACAGTACAGTATGTAACAGAAAGGTCAGAAACCATTTGAAAATAAACAAATATCTGAACTAGCACAAAAGTTAGAACAATTTCTGGAAGAACTTTCAGGTCACATTGGGCTCTTCCATTACTAACAACACTACTCTTGCTATACCACTCTATATTTCTGACTTCGGCATTTAGCCTCTTGCCTCACCAATAGCTCTCAAGCTACACAAACTTTCTTGATGCCTCCCTTGCATCCTGCCTGATCCCTACATCTTAAACACAGCCTGAATTGAGATTTTCCAGCATAGAATAACCTTGTTTTACCTCTTACAAATTGCTTTTAGAACACAGCTGCCACCTTCTGACAGCTGCCTTGGCAAGACCCAGCATTCCTAAAATACACCTAGCCCCACCTTTCTTCCTGGGTATGAGTACTCTGTTCATGGATAGAGTCTCCCCTTTTCCCTGTGTATCACCTCCCAGCCCACTATGAAGCCCAGAGCTAGCGAATGGGGCTGCAAAAGACATCATAAGGAGATGAGTAGAAAATCTGATTTCACCAGATGACTTGCAAGAGCTTGCATCTGGGTGTAATTCAATGTATGTAGTGACTAAATTCCAACCAAGACTCCTGACATCTCAGTTGCCGACAATGGTTCAGGAAACCCAGTTCTATAATTTAGCAGATTAAAGCTTCTCAACACTAGAGGATGATTTGACAATTTAAATCGCTTATTGAAGCTAAGTCTGTAAAACCACTTGCCCTTTTGAAATGCAGTCTCTTTCAACATTTTGAAATGCTTCAATAACACTACATGGCTATGCACAATTTGAATTGATTTAATATTCTTTTAGTATG